GAAGATGTTGAGTATTAAGCTCTTTATGCAAAAAGGGCTGAACAGGGCGCATATATTGGGCGTACCAAGTGGTATGTTGCACGTATGCAGTCAGCGCCTCGTAAAATGGTCAAACACTGAGTACGCCCCACATACAGAAGAGTACGCCCAACATACTCGGCTGAGTCAACTCGGTCGGGTTGGCTCGGCTGGGTTGACTCAGCTAGGTGTTGACTTTGACTTTGACTTTGGCCAAGGTTGACCAAGTTTGACTTGAGGGTATTTTGGGTATTTTGGATTGTGTTTGGGAATTGGTCATTTAGATGGATAGGTGTCGTTTAGAGCTGAGATTCGGATTTGGGACCTCATCGGCTATTGTTCAGATTGAGAGGTGAGTCTTCCTCACTGTACTTCCGGGTCGAAGGCACCAAGGCTGGCCCATTCGATTGGATATTCTGTTATAGGATAGTATGTTAATATGTTGCAGAGATCTATTAGATCGGTATCCTGGTATATAGGATATTAGCATGCGGTAGTGATCTGTAGATCTGGCGGTTTGTCTATTGTCTGGTTATCTGTTTATTTGTTATGTGTATATTGACATGTTATGGTTGATTGGGTTGAGGCGGTCCTGCTTTGTGCTGAAGGCCAAGATACCGAGGCGGTCCGGATAGACTGCAGACCTTGCGGGGCGGTCTAGTCAGGCTGAAGGCCCGGCGAGTGATCCGGATAGGCTGTAGGCCCTGCGAGGTGGTCCAGTCATGCTGAAGGCTCGGGAGCAGTCCAGATAGGCTGTAGGGCCTGCGAGGCGGTCCAATCATGCTGAAGGCTCATGTATGCATGTTGTTGTTTGATATGTTTTATGTGGTGATACTTTGGGGAACTCACTAAGCTTTGTCTTACAGTTTAGTTTATTGTTTCAGGTACTTATGATGATCGCGAGAAGATAAAGGTGTGACCGTACACATCATCCTGCTTCATGACCTTATGATTTTGGGATACTCTAATATTGTAAACACTTTGAAAACAATGATTTTGTAAACATTTTATGATCATGGGTTGTTTTGAAAAGTTAAATTTTTTTTTTTAAGTTGTTACAGTATTAAAGATTGTAAATGACACATCAGAGGTTCAAGGTTTAATTTTTAAATTAATTTTTTTAATTTGTTCCTGGTTATTTTTTTAAAATAATAAGGCCAAACTCCATAAAAATCAGTATACTTTGATTTTTAATTTGACCACTGAAAATATTTATTTTTGGTGTTTATTTGTTTTTTTTAAGAAAACTATTATATAAAATTTTGAACTTTATGCAAACTATTATAATTTGAATTTTTTGACCATTCAAAGTTTTTATCGATTTAATCACAAAACTTTGATTATTTATAAAGAACCGGTTAACAAAAAATAAATAAATAAATAAATCTTACCTTATTTGCAATTTGTTATTGGAGAAAACTCAAAATATTTTTTTAATATAAAATAAAAAACTCTCAATGATTATACAGAAAAGTTTTTCAACGGTAAAAATAACTATTGAATTTGGCTAAATAGTAATTTTGATTTCAAAGAAAAATAATGTTTTTGTTTAACTATATTCTAAGTATTTACTTAATTATCAAATCAATTTATTACATTAAATATTGTTTTGTAGAAATATGCATCAAAATATAATGTTCGTTTGTTAGACTCGGAATAAGAAAACTAATAAAAGCAAAGGAGTTTACGGCGGGAAATTCCTTTTGGAACTTAATCTACTACATATATTTACTTATGGGACCTTTACTTATTTATCTATTAAAAGTAGTTATCAGTAGTGTTAGGTTAACATGATTTTCATATATACTTTTCGGGATTTTATATTAATTATGTTATTTACTAGAATAGTTTATTCAAGTAAACTATAGATAAAATGAAATTATTGTGTAGTAAGAGTATTTTATGCAGCTAAAAAGACCCCTACATGGTTACCAATAGCCCATCCTATTTTGCCAGTTGACTTTACTATCGATATCAACTATCTTATTAAATTTTAGGAAAATGATCCAAAACTGCAGACGATTACATAAAATTTATCTATTAGCTTGCCGATGTTTTTATTTGCACAAATTGACTAATATTTTTTATTCAATTATATCATTAATATCGGTGATACCGAGTTACCAACCCATGTGGAGTCCACGCCACGGGTTCTGTACATGTAATTGATGAAATTATGGGGAAAAAAATTGTTGATGAATTAGACGCAGTTAAAATTTTAGTGACATAATGAGTAAATTTTATGTTATTGATTTTGAAACATTTTCCCTAAAATTTTCTTTCACTGACAAAAAGATACCTATTTAAGCAACTAAAAAAACCCGTAACATTACAAAATGAGGTGATATTTTTTATTTTTAGTTTTTGATTTATCTACTGAAAATAAAAATAAAAAAAAATAAAAAAAAAAAAAAGTAGATTCTTTCTTTTCAGTTAAAATTAAAAATATAAAAATAAAAGTATTTCTTTTTGAATTGGATGAATAAAAAACATAAATAAAATATGACCTTCCTCATAAAATACATTCCAATTAATCATATGTCAAATTTGCACTGAGATTTTATTTCTTAGTTAAACGTTGAAATTTAACCTCTAAAATACATTCCAATTAATCATATGTCAAATTTTCACTGAAATTTTGTTTCTTAGTTAAACGTTGAAATTTTTTTTTTAATTTGCAAAAAAAAAAAGAAAAAAAAAAGAATACGTGGATAAAGAATGCAATTCAATTTACTTTGCATGTTATTCATTTGAAAAATCAGCTTTTTGATTGCTCTTTGTTTGTCAAGTTACAGACAAAGACAAACAGAAATCGGATAGTTGTATTGTTATATATTTTTATTGTTAACAAGTGCCAACTTAAATAACGATATTTCAATAGTTGAAAAAAGAGCTAATAATCTTTTTATTTGTCAACTACATATATTTGAATTCCATTTTGGGTTTTTTCTATATTTATATCGGCAGCTTGATATTCTTATCCATTCACATAATCGTGGAAACACGAAGACGCTTTTGAAAATGTAAATAAACTATCCGTGTACAATTTTATTATTACAAAAAAGTTGTTTAGAAGTTTAATTTTGGAATATACTCTCTTTGCAATAATAAATAAAGCGTTTGACTTTATGTATATTAGAAATATATATACATTGTAAATACAGGTGCAGACGAAAAAAGAAATGAAGAATGTGTTATATATATATATATATATATATATATATATATATATATATATATATATATATATATATATATATATATATATATATATACTTGCTTAGGTTATTTTGTTTTACTAACTATTGTGTGCAATAATGCACAGATCTGGACTACGGATTGAATCGAATCAAAGATCATGATTTGAGGGTCTATGATATTAGAAGAGGATAACATGTACCATATAATCACATAAATTTCAGCATAAGGACATTTTAGTCAATTTACCTATATTAAAAAAGGAAATTTTTGGATTTTTAGAGATAATTAATTTCTTTATTTTTAAAAATCTAAATATTTTAAATTAATTCAAATTTAAAAATTCGATTTTATTGTGTCAGAATGATAAAATGCAAACCATAAACTAGTAAATATATTTTTCGATTTTATTCTGTCAAAATGACAGAATGTCAACCATAAACTAGTAAATACATTCTGAAAGAATACACAAAATCGATTCTTGAACTAACAATATACCAAATAATTACATTGTATGATTGTTATTCATTGAATAATAACAACATTCTGAAAGAATAACAAGTGTAATTCTTAAAAAATAACAACATTCTTAAACAGTGAGTATGATCATTCTTTAATTCATTCTTCAAGTCTTTCCCATCAGGTCTTGAAGTCATTCTTCAAGCCATTTCTATCACAAATTCATTACCAAATATTTTGTAGTGATACACTTGTAACAACTGCACATTAAACATATAGATAATTAACTACAATTCTATAAAAATACAGCAATAATATTCTTATAGAATAAACTATTCTTGCAGAATGGTTTTAAATATTCTTAAAGAATTTGTATTATCAAGAATATACCCAACGAACAAAACATTTGAAATATAAATACATGAAAATATCATGTTAACACAAAAGGTGACTAAGAAAAAAAACAATTAGAATATATAAACCATCTTCGTAAGGGAACAATAAGTAGGAAGAAGACCCTCCAAGGATAAATAAATCATTAATATAAAGTATATGAAGAAGTGTGAACTTGTTCAACCATTTTGATAGAATGTAATCCTCGAATCACCAATTTTTAATCGAAAAATGACTCCAAAAACATAAAATACATCAAATTAAAGAATTATTCTAACTGAATATTACTTAGAGTCTAATAGCTATCAAGAAACATGTTTATTCTGCAAGAATGATATTGTAAAAATTCTTCAAGAATGGTTTTCAATATTCTTAAAGAATTTGTATCATTTTTGACACCATAAATCAAATGGAAAATCCAATAGTGGGTATACTAGTGAAATCGGAAATCAACTGGAAGGATAATCGGAAATCAAAGAATCAAAAATCAGTGAATAAATCAAATGGAAAATCCATGTGAAGAATCGTAAATCAATAGCATTCAGAGGAAGAATTGCAAGCCATATTCTTGATTCAATTGAGCACACTTGATCCTAAGTGTTAAACAACATAAAAGATAACATTTGAGACAAGTAAGAAGATCTAAAACCCATAAAACCTGACAGCAAAGATCTCAATATAGGAAATCCACAATATGTTCGATTTTGGGAGTTCACATGTATTTTTTAGGTAATTTCTTTGGTTCTAGCAGCCTACACCTGATCTGAAGTGTTAAAAGGCTTACAAATCATCATTAGCAAGATATTAAGAGGGCTTAACACCCACTAAAACTGACAACAAGGCTACTACAAACAGAAAACCCGCAAGGGTTTACATAAAATATATGGGAAAGAAAGAAGGTTTTACTATACCAGACGGAAAATGGTGTCGATTTAGGGTTCCAACAATGGTGGCGGCAACAAAATTAACAGTGATTGAAGCTTCTGTGCAGTGAATTTCCAGCAAAAAGGAACAATTTCAACCGGCATGGCTAACCCACTTCCGCCGACGTAGTCTACCAGTTTTGATTCATCGACAATCACAACGAAATTCTTGCAACAACCTTTGATCATTTTTTCACGAAGCAACGATCCCCCGCACCCTTTGACTAATTTCATATTTGGGTCAACTTCATCTGCTCCATCGATGGCCAAATCGAGAACTGGATGGTTATCAAGATCCGACAGAGGTATGCCCAGAGATAAAGCCTACTCATGGGTCATCGTCGAAGCTCTCCGATAAGGTCAATAGCGTGTTTGGCGGTGGAGCCAGTTTCAAGGCCGAGAACCATGCCAGATTCGAACACAACCAATCTGAAGAACCGGCGATGAGGAGGCGATAATGAACGTGATCGACGACGGAATGATAAAGGGATGTTGGTTTTGTAGGGTTTAACTAAGTAATGAAAGATTAATTGAATTATTCTTTTACCATAACTACACATACTAAGTTTAACATTATACCATTTTTTAATTTGTTTAATGATTTATTAATTACTGAATTCTCATTGGTGCATACAAACACACAATAATTGTTAGAAACATTTGAACCTAGATCTCTCTCTCTCTCTCTTTATATATATATATATATATATATATATATATACACTAGAAAACTGGGCAATTTCTGACGGCCATATCTGTTGGAAATCCGTCGCCAAAGCCGATTTCCGACGGAATACCGACGGAACTAGGTATGTCGTAAAAAGCCCCGTGGGTAATTATTTGTGACGAATTTCCGACGGTTTTTGTAACGGATTACTGACGAAATTTTTCATCGGAAATATACCGATGGATTACCGACGAAATGTTCTTTGACTAGGATTGACCGTATTTTCCTACAGACTACTGACGGATTACCGACGAATGCCCTTTACTTTTTGTGACAGATTATTCCGTCACTAATTCGTCACTAAATTTTCAAAAAATTTAAATTAAATGTTACTTTTTCTGCGAAAAATTAAATTAAACCACAAAGTGTGAAATGCATTAATAAGTGTTTAAAACATGATAATAAACATCATCTAATACATTCAAAGTATCAAATACATTACTAAGTGCTTAAAACACAAAACTAAGGATTATTTGATCGATTATCGATTGACATATGGATTTCATATAGGCCTCCATTTTGTTGTTCGAATTAAGATTGTTTTTGTTTCATTTGCAACTCAACTTCAACTTGACTCACATTTCTCTTATTCATTTTTCCACTCTAAAATACTTGTTCTTGCAACTTTTGTACCTAAAAAATATTATATATATATATATATATATATATATATATATATATATATATATATATATATAGTAGGATCAAATGAAAACACCCAAAAGGTTGAAAACGCGAAAACAAAGTATATTCATTTGTGATTCCATGTATTCATTTGTGGAGAAATGATAAATTTTTACGCCTTTAATTTCAATTCAAGAGAAAAAGCATATTCATTTTGATTGTGCATAAAAATTTATCATTTCTCTACAAATGAATACATGAAATCAGTTCTACTAAAATAGATAACCGAATGCTAACACCGGGAAAAATGTAGACTAGGAACGATTGTGAACAAATTTATTATTTGCCATATGTACACCTAAAATTTGAAAAAATAATAAAAATAGTTTTATAAATACAAACAAGTTTAATAATTTCCTTCACAAGGCTTGCAACAAGATCAAACAAACACTTGTTGAATTTCCATATCATACGAAGCTACACATTGTCAAGGAAATGCAAGTGTAAGTAAGACCCTACAATTTAATACAGAAAGTTCAAAATGGATGTCAAGGATGAGCTATAAGTTAAAAATCAGTGAAAATATATTACTAATTTCACACCATGAAAATCAAAAACTGTGTTTCATCATATCCAATACAAATGAGTTAGAACTATTAACATCAACCAAGTAAAAGGCAGTCAAATGACACATTTTGAACATAGTTCTTTTTTAAACAGCATACCATTGAGCCCATTTGTAATTTCTACTTCACATTTGAGACATGTTAAAGTAGGAGCCATTATACAACTTTACCATTTATTTGAGAGCTTCATCATCAAGAGATGCATAGTTTGCTGCAACCAAAAAAAAAAAAAAAAAAAAAAAAACAACGTTAATATAAACAAAATACAGTTTATGTTAGAATACAACAAGCTTTTGAAACTTTCCTAACATTCTCAACCGAAATCATACCAAAACTCTACCAAATAGGACTATAATGAAAAGTACGTTCCAGAAAGATCAAGAACTTCGGGTAGAACTCTGAAAATATAAAATGTGAACTTACGATTCAAGACTGTGAGAGCTAGGATGAAAAAAAAAAAAACAGTAAAGATCACCAAAACACGGAAAGAGTGCGCCATTACAGACCCGAAACATGTAATCGTTCTCGAACATTTACAGTTTCGTGGGTTAGGATTCGGTAGTATAATAATAAAGAAAAATGAAATCGATGCAAAGGAAACAGGGAGGGGTTTGGAGGAGTTCACAGAGCTTACCGAGAGCTGAAGGACGGCAGCGCTGGCGGAGAGAAAGGGTCGAAAGACGGCGACAATGGCCGAAGGCTGTGATCGAGGTGGTGTCAATGGCGGTGGGTCAGGGCTAGGGTTTTACCGATTTCAATCTAAAACCAGTGAAGGGTTGTGGCTTCCCGTTTGACTGAACAGAAAGATCGTCGGAGGTGGTGGTGGCAGATCAATCGTTGCCTTGTGTTTGTGTGGGAAGGTGAAGAATGAACAGCCGATCGAAGGGACGAATACTGAGGATACATGAGTCGGAGGTGGGAATACAAAGGAGGCGGGAGTAGATGGGAAAAACTTAAACCTAGAGAAATTTTGCGGAAAGCGGGAGTAACTGTTAATTTTGGTGGGAAGTTAAAAATTTTGGATTAATTCCATACAACTCACCAACGAAAATAAGAAAATAAGATTGAAAATTTCAATTAAAGTCTTACGGTTAGGCACTTACGGTGCAAGGCTCATTTAATTTATATCCGGCCATTCTTTTCTTTTTTTTTATATTATATTTATGTAATTATTATTATTATTATTATTATTATTAATATTAATATGATTATTATTATTAAACAAATCTTCATAAATGGTCCGTGTGATTTTTAGAATATCAAGTTAGCTTATAAAAATGATGGAAGACGGATGGACGGAAGTGAGGCGGCGTAAAATGGGAGTGGCGTCCGATGGGAACACGACGGAGGAAACCACTTTCTTTGTTACTAACATACCAAACGGCGCAACAAAAGCAGAATTCAGGAAAATCTTTTCTCAAATGGGAAGATTATCAGATATCTACTTCGGGAGGAATATAGGGAAGAACGGGAAAAACTACGGCTTCATACGGTTCATCGGGGTATCCGACGCCAAAGCTTTGGAATTGAAACTGAACGGTGCTACATGCAGGAACAATAAACTTGAGATTAGCGTTGCAAGGCATGGCCGGAAAACACCTCCATTACCTCCGGGGAAAATAAATCAGAATCCAAGAACTGTCGTGCCCCTGGGACAAAATACCAGTATCCATGGAGGTGGATTTACCGACCACAGAATATATGCTCAGGTTACTGGTCACTTCAATTCAAGGCAGCCCAACAAGAACATTCACCAAACAACTGCTCCGATCCGCTTGCACACCGACGACGGCATAGATTGATGGCTCACTAAATCCACCCTCATCGGCGAAGCTAAATCCCTGGAACACCTTGGTCATATGCCAACTCTCATCTCCATCCACAGCGAACACCGCCCTTCAGTCAAATACCTCGGTGGGATGCTTGCTTTAATTAGCTTTGATTCCACAGTTGCTGCAAGAGAATTCCTAGAAGATGAGAGGAACTGGAAAGATACATTCAAATGGATGAAGATGGGATCCACTGTAGTCACAAAATTCGAACGCATAACATGGATCAGGATACTTGGACTCCTTCTCCGACTATGGAATAACTCCAACTTCTCTGATGTTGTGGGAAAGTTCGGGAAAATAGCGGTGCCAATAGACCATATCACAAGTCGCGTTGACCTCTCTGTGGTGAAGTTAGCCATACTCACAGACAAATTAACAAAACTCAATGAGGAGATTCAGGTGGAAGCTGATGGCCGATCTTTTCACGTTGGAATCGTTGAATACGAAGACGAACCATGGTTCCCGTTCAAGTTTGACAACGAAGAACATCCATATGAAGATCAGGTGTTGGACGATAAAACTGAAAGCGAGTCTATGGTAAGTGAGTCAAATAACTGGAACTCCACTGAAGAAGATGAAGGCGTATCTGCAACATGGATCAATGATATGGAGGAGGGGGAAATCGTTCAGGATGGGAATCCTAACTCTCCAATATACCCTACGGAAGAAAAGGCTAATGAAGGCGGTGATGACCTAACACTGCCATGCACGGTGGCCGGAGATGACACAAATCATCACCAGAGAACAGTATCGGCGGTGAAGACCGGCGATTCCGGTGAGGAAAGACCGATTCTCGAGAAAGGGGTCTACGAAGCGACACTCAATTTCCAAGATAATTCAAAAGATAACGGTAAGACGGATCGGGCTGCTGCCCTAGATAATCAGACGGATCCAACACCCTCGGATCTTCAGACTTTGGGCCCACTGAAAATTGTTAATTTCCCAGCTTCATTAGCCCAATCTGGGTGCTTCGGCCCTTTTCCCTCTTTTAACTCTACTCCTCCTCCAGCCGGTCAACATAGTTTAGATAATGGTCATGTCCGTTCCTCTCTAAAGAGACGTCGTTTACAGCGCTCTCCCCCCAGTGAACTCACAACTTTGATCCTAATAACCACCCTGTTTCAAGTCCCAGAAATAAGTCGACCTCCCCCCTTCATCGTATCCACCACCAACACAGATGAACCAACTCAGGTCCCTCAACCCATCGCTGGCCAGAATATCGATGTCCTAAACCATGAATTAACCGACCTAGTGGTGGAATCAACAGAAATTGAAGTGACTGCAGCAGTGGGTTCCCTAATTAGGTTCGAGATTGAACCTAATAATCGTATCCTAGCTGAAATTCTTGGTGCATCAGGTGAGCACAATGTTACCCAATGAATTTCCTTTCTCTGAATATTAACGGTATTGGGGGAGAGCATAAGGTGGCATGGATCAGACGACTTAAAAGAAAGCATAAGCTATCATTTATTGCAATCCAAGAAACACAACTCCTAGACGCTGAGATTATTGATGCAAGGGCTTGTTGGGGCTCTACTGATTTCGGTGTCAGTCGCACCAGTTCTTACGGAAGGTCTGGAGGCTTACTAAGTCTGTGGGATAATAAGATGTTCACTTCTACTGATGTTATATCCTCTCGCAATTATCTTATCAATATTGGCACTTGGGAAGGCATTTCAAGACCAGTAATTATTGCTAATATTTATGGACCACAACTGGTACGTGAAAAGGCATTATTATGGGAAGAATTGAAAGGGATCATACAATCCATCAATGGAGTGTGGATCATGATGGGGGACTTCAATGCAGTAAGGAGACCTGAGGAGAGATTTAATTCAATTTTCTGCCATCGTACAGCCAGAGACTTCAACAAGTTCATACTAGAGGTGGGTTTCACAGACCTTAAAATGGGTGGGTTCAGATATACATGCTTTCGGAATGAAGACATAAAACTGAGCAAACTAGATCGCTTCCTAATCAGCCCAAGGTTTCTCGATATTGCTCCCAAAACCTCCGTCACCGCGCTACCACGAGAACTCTCCGACCACTGTCCCATACTACTCTCTACCACCAAACCGGACTTCGGCCACCCACCATTCAGGCTCTTCAATTCTTGGTTATTGAGAGAGGGTTTTGAGAAGACTCTCATAACCAGCTGGAATAATTTCATTGGGTTCGGAACCCCAGACCAGTACATGGCGGCAAAACTAAGACACGTCAAAGAAGCCTTAAAAAAATGGAGAGCAACAGAACATCCCATATAAGAGGCTACTTTAATTAAACTCAAAATGGAGATAGAACGATTGGATCATGAAGCCGAATCCAGGGCACTCAACATAGAAGAAGCGACGAGGCGAAGGGATAGTTTCAAAAAAATCGCAGAACTCGAAAAACTCAGAGCGTTAGACATAAAGCAAAAGTCCCGGGTCAAATGGGCTGTAGACGGGGATGAAAACACTCGCTTCTTTCACGGCCATGTTAACAATAATAATTCGAAAAATGGGATTGATGGACTCATGATCAACGGGTCATGGTGTACTGACCTGGCGATGATAAAACTGGAGGCCTTCAAATTTTTTGCCAATAAGTTTAAAGAAAAATGGCCTTCCAAACCGAAACTAAGCAATAGCCACTTTAATAAGATCACCCCAGCTGATTATCAGATGCTAGAAGCGCCAATCTCACTGGAGGAAATTAAGGAGGTTGTGTGGGCTTGCGGAAACGAGAAAGCCCCTGGACCCGATGGATACTCATTCAAATTCATAAAAAAGTATTGGGGTGTACTGCTGGGAGACATTGCTGCTGTGGTCAAACATTTTGAGCACTATGGGAAACTGGACAAATCGTGTAATTCTTCATTCATATCCCTGATCCCCAAAATCAAAGACCCCATCACGTTAAGTGATTTTAGACCCATCAGTCTAATAGGATCCTTATACAAGATCATTGCTAAGATCCTTGAACAAAGAATAAAGAAGGTTATGGGGAAGTGCATAAATGAAGTACAATCTGCATATGTCGAAGGCAGGAACATTCTTGATGGGCCGTTGATAGTTAATGAACTATGTGCCTAGGCAAAAAAGTCAAAAAAGAAGGTCTTGCTTTTCAAAGTTGACTTTGATAAAGCATTTGACTCCATAAATTGGGGATTCCTTGACTCAAACCTAAAAATCATGGGATTTGGAGACAAATGGAGGGCATGGATCAAGGGTTGTCTTGAATCTGCCAAATCATCGGTCTTGGTTAGCGGGAGCCCAACTAAGGAATTCCCAATCTCAAAAGGGGTGAGGCAGGGGGACCCGCTATCACCGTTCCTCTTCATCATAGCCATGGAGGGATTAAGTGCAGCCATGCGGGCTGCATGTCAAACCGGAGTCTTCCAGGGTTTAACACTACCAAACGATGGACCAACGATCTCCCACTTATTATACGCAGACGACGCGCTGTTTGTTGGCGAATGGTCGAAAAGAAACATAAAAAACCTCGCCAGGGTCCTGCACCGCTTTCATGCCTCCTCCGGTCTCAAAGTAAACTTTGATAAATCAAAGGTTTTTGGTATTGGCGCTGATATGCAGGAAGTCTCAAGATGGGCCATAACTCTTGGTTGCAAACCATCCTCTCTCCCATTCACTTACCTTGGTGTTCCAGTAGGGGCGAACATGAAATTAATTAAAAATTGGAAACCGGTGATTGAGAGATTTCATAAAAAACTGTCCATATGGAAATCCAAAACCTTGTCGTTTGGTGGTAGACTAACGCTTGTTCAGTCGGTTCTTGGTAACTTACCAACTTATTACCTCTCGATATTCGTGGCTCCCGAAGGGATGATTGAGACGTTAGAACGAATTTGTAGGAAGTTTTTATGGGGTAGTACAGATGAAAAAATAAGCATACACTGGGTATCCTGGGACAAAGTCACTGCATCCAAAGACGTTGGCGGGCTTGGTGTTGGTACGATAAAATTTCTAAACAACTCCCTCGTTATGAAGTGGTGATGGAGACTACGATCTGAGCCTACATCCCTTTGGGCCAAAGCCATACATAGCATGCATAATTTATACAATAAACCAGACCACTGTTATGCAAGCAAATACATACCAGGTGTGTGGAAAAACATCGCGAGTTTCGGAAAATACCTTCAAAATAAAGGTATTCTAACTGAAACAATGCTATACAAACAACCAAGTCCAGGTGATGAAATATGGAATGTAATCTCACTGTTGACGGATCATTCACAGTAAAAGTCCTCCGGAAAAACTAGACTTCAACCCTACACTACGTCTGGATCAGTTTACATGGCTGAGGGAGATCCCAATTAAAATTAATTGTTTCATTTGGAGGGCTAAAATGGGCAAAATACCTTCAGCTTTGGGCCTTTTATCCAGAGGGGTAGCTGTGGAAATTTTTTTATGCAATCACTGTGAAGAAGTAGTGGTATGCGCAGATCATGCATTGGTGGGGTGTAAATATGCGAACACGGTTATACAATGGGTGCTAAAATGGTGTAGAGTTCCTCTCGAAGAACTCAAAACAGTACATGAGGTGATCACCTATGCTCAAACATGGTCCAACTGCCCCAAAAAAAGAAGGTTGCTAATGGGAATCTGTTACGGCCTGCTCTGGAACATATGGAAAGTAAGGAATAACATAATTTTCAATAAAAACCGGCTTCCTGCTCTCATGTGTGTAGACATGATCAAATCCACTACATACATGTGGATAAAAAACAGGGGGTAAAACAGGAGTATTGATTGGTCAACATGGTGTAGATCTCCGTTTCTTTGTCTGTAATCTGTAATCTTAATATTTGCACGTTGTTATTTTCCCCTCCTCTAGTCACTTGCTAGAGGTTGGTCTTATTAATATATTTGCCGGTTCCAAAAAAAGAAATCAAGTTTAGCTTATAACTTTTTTTAATCTAATTGAAGCTCCATGTGGCTTTAAAACTTTTCATAGACGGTCTTTATTGTTAACATTGTCTATTTTAATCTGTTAAGTCAGAACATGTGCAAAGCATGTTAAAGAAAAAATCGTTGTTGGCAATGGTCATCAATGTTAGTGACTAGCATTGTTGGCGTTAATACATGAGATCCTGATGGTATGGTGTATATGGCTGTATGTACCATATCAACTACAATTTGTTCAATATATATTAATTAATGGATAAACAACGTTTTGGTGCTCGAAAACTTGAAAATTATAATTGAAACATAGGTTTCGATGTTGTATACGGGTATACATGTATATAATAGATATAATTTAGTCGATATATACTAAATGATGTATTATACAAGTGTGAAAAAAATAATGCTGAAAAACGACGTATAGTCCATTATGAATGATAATGACATTGCAACTTTTAAATCAAGTTTAAATAAAAATTATAAAGATCTTTTTAGGCTTGAGCATCAAAAAAAATACAACCTAGTTGATAGATAATTAGCAAGCTACTAAATCTTTTTAGTTTAACTATGAATGAAATGTCACTTGGATAGAAATATAAAATAAAAGCAAAGCCAAAATTTCACCATTTACACGCAACATGTATGTGGCTCCAGGGACGGAGCTGCTTTAGGGTCAGGAGGGCTGTTTTTTTTTTGTTAGAACATATGGGGCCCCGATGGAGTGCACGGATGTTCGTATGAGTATATTAGTTATAATTTGATAAATGTATATAAAATGATTTATAATACAAGTGTTATAAATATATAAGCAGAAAAAACGACATTTTTTGCTCGAAAACTTGAAATTTAGAATCGAAACATCGATTCGGAAAGTGTACGTGGGTGTACGTATGTGTATAAAAGCTACCATTTGGTAAATATACACTAATTGGTGTATAATATATATGTGAGAAATGAAATCGCATAAAATGAAGTATGGTGCTCGAAAAGTCGAAAGTTAGAATATTTTCGTCATAAATCTGTTAGTAAATAGCGACGGAATATCATAATCCGTCGGTAACTACCGACGGATTTTCGACGGACCTGTTCTAATTTCCGGTTTTTTGAGCACCATAAATCGTTTTTCCGATTTTTTTTTCTCACACACATATAATACATCAATAACTACAAATTTTATGAATTAGAGCTAATATACACATAGATACACCGTGTACACCTTCGGGACCTACGTTTCGATTCTAATTTTCAAGTTTTCAGGGACCAAACATGATTTTTATCGTTTCACCTTTCTCACTCCTTTATTATACACCAATTAATAAACATTGAACAAATTATAGAAAATTTAGTCATACAACCGTATACGCCATCAGGATCCTATGTATTAAAATGTTAACCATACGATTAGTAATAGGGTCCCGATGGAGTGCACGAACATACGGGGCCCCGACCGAGTGTACGAATTTTCGTATGTGTATA